AGTGGAGTCCTACTGAGACACTTTCCTGTCAGCTTCAGCACTGCTTCCCTTAAGAATTCTCCCTTCCTGCTCCTGGTTCCAGCAGATGCTCCGCTGTGCTTCCCCCACTCTCCCACTCTCCCACCTCCTTTTGCACACAGGCCAGTGTCCCCTTGAGGTCCTTCAGCGAGCTGACTTGTGTGCCCTGAATGGTGAATGGGACAGTCCCAGGGAAGTTACCTGGGTCTCACATTGTGGGCTTGCTGACCACCTTGGAATCTGAAGATGGTCCAGACAGGACCAAGACTAACACATCCCAAAGCCAGATCCTCTCCTGAGTGGGGCTGGCAGTTGAGATCAGGAAAGTCTGAGGCTCCAGCCTCAGAACACTTGGGCTGGGCCCTGCCATCTGATCACATTGGGCACATCTCTGCACTTCAGTCGGTTTTGCTGTAAAGAGAACGAGATATTTTCTGTTAACATGCCCACTGCACAGATCCTCTGTATTTTCTCCTTCCCCTTCACTTCCCGAGTTTCTTTGCTCCACTCCTTGGCACTTGGATGACATGGGCTAGGCTTGACTCTACATTCTTTCTCATCTCTCCAATCCATCCCCTCTCAGAGGTACCTTTTTTTGCTTCAGGGATATCAGAGCAGTATGTTCTGTTTCATTAAACTAGTATCTTTTCTATTTGTTTGTACCCCTGAAATTCCAGCTCTCTGGGAGACTGAGGCAAGGAGATAGCATATTTGAGCTGAGCCTTAGCATCATAGTGACTAAATGAGGCCCAATCTCACAGTGAGAAAATTTAAAAGAGGCCTAGAGATGCAGCTCAGTACAAAGGTGCTGGGTTCAAACACCAATTCTGTCCTCCAAAGGCTGGGGTAGTTGGTATGATCTTCAAGAGTAGTTTTCTTTATTCAGTGGGACCTCCCAGAACATTGGCTGTACTGAAATCCTGGTCACACTCAAGAAATCAAGGGTATGGAGGAAGTGTGTGGGACAGGGAGAGAGAACCTTTTTGAGCTTTCAGTGGCACAAACAGCCTGCTGCCACATGTGTTCATCACTGATGTAAGTCATTCTCTCAAATGTACTTGACCCCAGAAACCTTTGCTGGAAAAATGCATCCTATGGCTTGTGGAAGGCAGAACTCCCTCTGGAGGGAGTAGTTTAGGCCAAGAGCAGGATTTTAGAGAAGACCCCTGTGTCCTCCACCTGGGTGGATTGGTGGCCCTAGTGACTTTTGGTCTTCCAGCCAGTGCTGCAGAAGCCGAGCTTGGGTGGGGTGCCTCCCGTGCCTGTGGGCAGCTGCTCCGGGAGCATACCTGAGGGGTGGAAAGCTGCCAGGGGGCTCAGCAGGAAAACACATTGGCTCTCAAGCTCAGACTAAAAGAATTATTTTTCTTCTCACCAAGATAGTTGTTTTCTAAGTTACAGAAGTAATGCTATCTTATCATAGCAGTTCACAGTACAAACAATCCAGATATATTAAATCTAAAAAATATTGTCATGGTCTCATGCATGCATGGTCAGTCACACTTGATGTGGAATGTTCTTTACAGTTCATGTCCTCACCTACAGCACTTTCTGTGACCTTCATTTTATAGGGTTTTATATGTAGCTGTCAATACAGAATCCTATATAGATCTAATATATATAGTCATAGCTTTTCTATGTATCTATAAGATATAATATGCTAAGCTTACATATTAGCTATAATATATTAGATATATAGGTTACCTGTATTTGTAGACACAAATCTACATAGTTGTAAGTATAGGTTTATAGGTTTTATAGATTTTTGTCTGTGTAGGTGTATATTACATCAACAGAGATGTGTTATCTATAGTTAAATATCTACCTTATTTCTGATCTCTTATGAAATGATTGTATAGAATATATGTTGATAAATCTATGTAGAGTATTACTGAAGAATATAATTCTATGCCTCAATAATATGTATATGCACCTTACTATATCCCTTATTTTTAAATGTGCTTGTATTATGCATACTTGCATTTTAAGCAACCATCTTTTATGTCTATTGAATAGACACCTTCTGATTTCTAAACAAGATATTGAATGTTAGCACCTTGCACCACATATGAATAGTCCATAATGTACTCACATCTTTTCTGAACAATACACACCTACGTTGCTCTTTTCTCTTTTTAAACAGTTACTGCAAATGGTATTGCAGGTGATGTAACGATGAGCACAGACCTTTCTGCGCTGGTATTGTTATTTCACTTTTATATATGGTGCGTCCTTTAGACTGTGGTTCATTTTTAGGCTGCAGTGTCCAGTTACTCCAGTCCCCCATGTGGAAGCCAGTAGCATTCTTCCACTGGGTTGCCTTTGCACTTTTGTTGAAAATCAGTCTGTGTGTGTGTGTGTGTGTGTCTGTGTCTCTGTGTGTGTGTGTGTGTGTGCTCTTCTGGGTCCTCTATTCTGTTGTATGATTTCTGTGTTGCTAGTTCTGTCAATAGCACACTATCTGCGCTATGGGGGCACACACAAGATTTTAAATGTTTTAGAATTTTAAAAAGCAGAAAGACATGGCTGGGGATGTATAGCTAATTGGTAGAACACTTGCTTAGCATGTACCAGTCCCTGTTTGAATCCCAAGCACTGCAGAAATAAATAAATGAAGATGTAATGAATATCTTTAAACATTGTATTTTAAAATAATTGTAAGCTCATAAGAAGTTACAAAAATTATACCAAAATCCTGTTACCTACTCAGCCAGGAATAACATCTTATGTAAAGACAGTGATAGGTTCTGCCCATATGAGACTCTGCCAGGCTCAGTGTGCCGGCTGCCCAACACGGCACTGACACCTAAAACAACAGCAAGTCTCTCGTACACTAACTAACTCCCACATTCATCTTTTGGTCCCAAGACAATAGATTTTCTGTGTCCCTTCTGTGCATGTGCTGAAGGTCCTCCAAACCACTCACGGCACTGTCCACTCAGATAGTCTCCACCGCCTGGACCAAAGGTCCTCAAGTCCTCTCCCAACATCATGACATGTCCACTCATGTAGTTTCCACCCCTATTCCAAACTCCCCCTGACTTTTTTGCGGGTCCTTGAAATCTCCAGCAGTCCTTTTGCACCAACAATAGAGGGTTTTTTTTTTTAATCTCTATTTATGTCTCTCAGCTGTGCAAAAGAGCTAACATTGGGTTGTGATGACTCAGATCATTTGAGGCCTGCAGCTCCAGGGGCCTCCCCCAGTTTGATCTCCCCAGCCAATGAGCCAATCCTATTCCTCTCATCTCTGCCTTTGCCATTGTCTGCCTCCATCCAACACTGATCCAATCTGCTCCCCACAGGTGAGTCTCTTCTTTTACTCTCCCTCTCTCTCAAAAATTGTGTGCCCCAATCAGGACACCCCTCCATCCTCTGGATGACAACCAAAGGGGTGGATGGGGAACCTATTTCTCTCTGTCACACCCCCAAGTAGGGTGATAATCCTCCTTTGGAGTTGTGAGTGGCTTTGGCCTTCAGATTACCTCTAATTTGATCATTATGGGAAATACTCTTTCCCACCCACAAAAACACACTCTACTCAGGTGTCTCTTAAAGAACTTAAACACTCTTGGTCTCAGAGAGAACTCTAAGCCAAAATGGCTAATCTCTTATTGCCCTTGAGCTTGGATCCAATATAAACTGAACAATAACAGCTTCTGGCCAGAACAGTGCACTTTCAATTTTAGCATTCTCTGCAACTCAGACAGCATTTGCTTTCACAACAGCAAGTGCTTGGAGACACCTTACCTGCCAGCCTGTGTTGCTTTTAGGTGCATTCTTCTCATTCAGACATGAGAGTTGGCCCCAGCACTTCTGACTCACCCTACACCACTAAACCCTCCTGATAACCCTAACAATCCCATTGATGATGCCATTTCTGCTTTCCCTCCTGCCTTTCACTGCACCCACAGGTTCCTCCCTCTGAACCTCTCCATCAGCCTCACCTCCCCGTCTCCTTCTCACTCTGTGAGCCTCACCACTTCATCCTCCTCCTCCTCCTCCTCCTCCTGTCCTTCATCACCATTTTCTCCCCTAGACACACATACTCTATCTCTTCAGTCCATTCACTCCACCACTTTCTCCTCCCCTACTCCTCCATTGCCATTTTTCCTCCAGAAAACCACACCAAATCTCACTCCCACACCTCCCACCATCTTCTCTCCAACCACCATTGTCTTCTGGCCGACTGCCACCCCTCACACCCCTAAAGGGCTAGTACTTGTTCATGTCCCTTTTACTCTGTCCAAGCTGTGCCAGATCTCCCATAGACGAGGCTCCTTCTCCACACATCCCCACAACTACATAAAAGAGCTCCAATTTGGGATTAATTCCTATGATTTACATTATAAAGTTCTCTACATTGTTCTTACAGCTACACTTTCTCCTTAAAAAACACCTCAGCTATGGAAAGGGGCCCCAAATGAGGCTGACTATAGACACCAAACTAATCTTAACCATCCTGCTGGGGACAGTGCACTACCAAATGCAGACCCCAATTGGGATTAGCAAGGAGAACATGGCTCACAACATATGAATGACCATCTGCATTATTGTAGGCCTAACCCAAATTTCTCAGAAAGTAACTAGCTTATATAACTGTATAATTCAAAATCACACTCAACACACTGAGGGAAACCCTGTGGAATTTCTTTCTTATCTTACAGTTACTCTAAACAAATGCACTAATTTTAACTGCCAGTCTGCAGAGGGAATAATCCTCAACCCCCAAATTATTACCAACCTACACGTGACATCCAAACTCCAAAAAAACAAATTGTGGCCCCCTAATGCCCGCAAAGAGATCTTCTCAATCTGACCTTTCATGTCTTCAATAATAGATAGGACCAACCACAACAAGACAATCTTGAGAAGACTAATATTGTATGCCTACTTTTGGGTGCAGCACTCAAGGCTTCTGGGAAACATAAATCCAAACAAAATGGTGCTACCCGAGCAAACTCTACACCATGCTTCATGCACAGGAAAGAAGGATGCTGGGCATGAGCCTGTCCCAAACCATGGCCACCACCAAGACTTTGTCTCCTCTGCAACCAGGAGGGTCACTGGAACTACAACTACCCTGTCTGTAAGAGAGCAGGTAAGTCATCAAACTCCCCACCCTCACAGGAGATCTCACTGCCGCCACCACTGGACTCTTCCTTAGCTGTTCTACTCAGTCTCACCACTGAAGAGGACTGATGGGGATTGATGGGTCCATCAAGGTATCTCTCACAACCCCAACTTTCACTGAATATCTTAGGTAAGGCACTCTCCTTTCTTATTCACACAGGGGCTGGTTACAGTATTCTTTCTGAGTTCATTTGGTTCCTGTACCCAATCCATGATGTCCGCTGTAGGTGTTGAGGGAAAACCTGCACAACCCCTCCAGACAGGACCCATCCCCTCCTGATTCCAAACCTTTCTCCACCCATAATTTACTTATAATTCCAAACTGACTAGAACCCCTATTATGCAGAGATATCCTCCGAAAGTTCAGCTTCTGTTTCACTTCCTCCCTTCTCACAGCTCTCACTTTTTTGACTGAACCAACCTGTGCTGTTGGTACCATAAGCCGTCTTCCCCCTCCTTTATCAATCCTATAGTTTGATACCACCAGCCCATGCCGCTACATGCTATTGATGCCACTCCTGTGCTAATTCATCTCAGAGACCCTTCAAACTTTCTGTGCATTCACCAATATCCAACAGCCCCCAAAAATCCACAGGGACTCAAACCTATGATCTCACACCTATTAACCCATGGCTTTCAAGCTTGCTTTTTTTTTCTTTATTTCTTTTTCCTTTTTTTCTGGTACCAGGGATTGAACTCATGACCTCCTGCTTGCAAGGCAGGTGCTTATGCTGCTGAGCTAAATCCCCAGCCCCAACCCATGGCTTTCTTAAACCAAAACACACAGTTAGCATTCTTCATTCCCAAGCTGCCATCTGGCAGAAAACAAGCCTGATCAGTACACAAGGAATCCCTATCACAAGTGCACCCTTTATCCTCAAACTACTAGAGGCAGCACAACTCTCAAAACAGGTAGCAGTCATTCCCTGCAGGGGACACCAAACATCGTCAGATCCTGTTTCTCAGGGTAATATCTTTGCTGGCACACAGGCCAAGTTGAATGCACCATAACCATACATCCTTCTCATCTTCTCTCCCTTATCCCAAATATCCTGCCACCACCTCAATATTCACCTGCACAGCTACAATTAATCCATAAATCTACCTATATCCTAAACACTCAGGGATGGATTTTCCCAGGACCGAAACTTCTCCTTTCAGACCAGCAGGCCTTAAACATCATCACCTGCCCATACAACTGCTTTCGAGTAGGTACCCACACTCTATATAAACTTCCATCTCTGATCACTACCCACCCCTCTTTAAAAACCCTCATGTGCCAAGCGATGCACAATTGCCGTCTCTTTGCCAAGACACCTCCTCGGGGATATTTACCTGCTCCCTCTTTCCCAATTCACCAACTTTGTGGACACACTCCAGACAAAGACTGGAAGATAGATTTTACACACATGCCTCATCATAAGACCTCCAAATACCTTCTTACCTTTGTCTGCACTTTCTTGGGGTGAATAGAAGCCTTCCCAATGTCTGACAGACTGCAGAAATAGTTTCTAGAATTGATATACAAGAGAGTATCTGCCATTTGGCTTACCTCAAACTACCCAATCAGACAACAGATCACCTTTCCTCATTCAGATTACTCGACAGTTATCCTTGAAACTACACATCACTCGGAATCTACACGTACCATACCACCCACAATCCTCAGGAAAAGCAGAAAAAGCAAACAGTCTTCTAAAGACACACCTCGCAAAACTCATCCTAGAACTACATCTACCTTGGCCTGAACCATTTCCCTTAGCCCTAATTGTCTTCAGAGTGGCCACTTTCTTCAATGTCCACTTTCCTGAGTCCTTTTGAGCTCATGTATGGGTATCCTCTTCCTGCTTCACAACTTACCTGTCCCACGGAACCTTCCCTGTTTTGCTGATTGTAGCCCAATCCTCTCCATTTTTAGACATCTTTTATGACAATATGCCAATCTATGTCTCCCTCTACCAAAAGATAAACCAAAACCAGCACGTTCTATAACTCCTGGAGACTTAATATACCTCAAATCCTCTAAAACCACAAGACTTCAACCAAAGTGTATAGGACCTTACCTGGTCAACCTCATGACACCAAGAGTGGGTAAGGTTGCCAGTCTTCCAACAGTGCTCAAGACTGCCAATCTCTCATCTTGGATTCACATCAGCCATGTTAAGTGTTGCCCTGACAGTGCTAACCCCAAAGCTCTATCCCCAGACTGGTCATCGCACCTTCTGTTCCTCACCCATCTTCAGCTCAAGTGAATCTAAACCACAGTGTTCTGGGACTCAGTACCCTCCTTGCTGTTTTTCTACCACTGGTCTTTATATTTGCTGAGGCACTTTGGACAGTCTCCCCTAGCGACACCAAGATGACCATCACCTTTCTGTTGCTTGCTAGATTCTTGCATAACCACTCTCAATTGTCTAAAATTATCATGATGGCAAAGGTATTAGCCTTCATATTCCCTTCCTTCCTAATTTTTATACAAATTTCACAGACTTTCTCCTGGACCCTCCTCTTTTCTTTCCAAACCACTAGGGATAATTTTCCAATTCACAAGAGTATGAGAAATATAAACTCTTGATTTATGCAAAGTGGCCTCCCTCTTATTGTGAACTGTGCTAGGAGATAAAGGAACATATCTCACCATGGCTGGAGTTCTCACTGACTAAAAACCTCCTGCTCTGACCCCAAACTTTTTTAGTGCTCCACATGGGACTGAAAGGGCCCACGTCCTAGAAATGTTTGGAAATAACAGGACCCTTGGATCAATTTTTCTTGACACTTTGTTCTGTAACACACTAGGTTCCTATAACCCTATTAGTTTAATGCTCAGGCAATCCTCTTGGCTGACAGACCCACCTGGAGGATCAGACTCTGTATGGGAACAGACCTGGGTGTTAACTTGAATATAAAAATGATCCCAAACCGAACAAGATACCCATTCTTAACATTCTCACCTTTAGCTTACCCCTGCCCCTTCCCTCACTATACTTTACGCCTCCACTATTCCTCAATCACTAAATCACACATATGCCCTTATATGGTCTTCCCTTCACACAGACTGGACACAATGCTGGTTCTGTCTCCCACTCAACCAAAACCTGTGGCTTGCCACAGGGGTTCCTTGTTCTTGGGATGGTCATGCCCCAGCCCTACACATGTGATCCATTTCAAACTTCAACAGCTTGTCGACACCCTGTAAATGTGTACAGCTGCTCCTGCTAGGTCAAACCTAGGAGGGACCAGGGATGCAGCAGGACACAGCATCTGTGCACCAGGGCATTTGCATAGCATGTGTGAATCCTGGGCTCCTTCCTGATCACCTGAAAGGGAGATTACCAAGTGCTGTGAAGTGCTGGCCACACAGCCATACCAATCCCAGGATGACCCTTTCTCCTGGTGCAGTCAGGGCTGGGAGAGTTCAGGGTGGATCATTCTGAGGTTGCATAGGAGAATCTATGCAAGTGAACTGCAGTCCCCTTGGCCCCTGTGCAAGGCATTTCATGTACCTTCTGCGTGCTGGGCACACGGCAACTGGGTAGCTGCACATCTGCAGATGCACTAAGTAAGCTGCTTGTCGTGTATTGTGGTGGCGGGGTCGGGAGGTAGTCAGTGATGTGATACATGCCAACCAGGGGTTGTTTCCATACATCGGGGCTCCTGAGCCAGGCAGGACAAGGGGTTGGCCAAGGAAGGCCCCTGGAGGAACTAATTGCTGGATCCACATTCTTTGAGAGATTTTGCTTTCCAGGCAGAGACGGAGAGGGGAGACCCAGAAGAAGGAGGATGGCAACAGCACAGACAGGAGGGAGGCCAGTGTGATGTGTGGTGCATGTCTGTGTGGCTGGTGGGGTGAAGGGAGAAAGACATGGTTCACGGGAGATACTGGAACACAGAGTCCTGGGAATAAGGGCAGCTCTGAGAGATGATGTGGGACAGGAGATGAGAATGCAGGCTGCTAAGTGACTTTGAATACAAGGGGCAAGACAGGATGCACAGGGACCTAAGAGGAGGCTTCTGGGGTCATCCAGGCAAGAGGTGGTGGAACTGGCTTAGGATAAGCAGGGGGGCAGGTCTTGGAGAGGTCCAGGAATCTCATGGGGACCCAGGCTACCTGGGATCGTCATGGCAAAAAGCCTGAGTGTTCACCTTCATCTTTCCTGTCTTAGGTGCATTCTGATTGCAGGAAGCTACACCAAATTTCCCCACTTTTTCCTTGCACTCAAAACCCAGACAAGCCCAGTGGCCAGCAATGTCTGCTCCAGCTTGCACATGGAATCCGACAGTGTCCCCAGGTTCAGTATAGGGCCTCTTCCCACCTTAGATGCAAAGTCCGGTGGGGGTCCATGGCATCGGCAGGGGTGCTGGTGCTCTGGTGGGGTAGAGGTAGGATGGGAGTCCTTGGAAAACCCATAACCAGTGTGTGTGCTGAATGCACGTCTGCAGGGCTGGCGGATTATTTTACTCACAGGCATGGTGCCTCAAGATTGGTGGGCCAGTCCCTCTCCAGAGGGGATCTGCAGAGTCCCTGGGTGGGGTGCACAGGCTGGCTATCTGCTCTCTTGGCATGGGGCTGGCTTCCCTTGCCCTCAGTGAGCTGGCAAGAATGCTGCAGGAATGCAGCATCCCTGCGTTTGGAGGAGGAGTGATAGAGGGAAGGGCTGGTACACCAAGAGTCTGTCCCAGGAGCCCAGCCATCACGCTGTGTGTCCTGCACTGGGTCTGTTTGACATGTGCTCTCACACTGGCTGCTCTCCAGAAGGAAGGCAGAAATCGTGTGGATCCGCTGCATGGCTCTGCTCCCTGCTTTGAGTGATTCACATGTTAGGTGTGATCTACAGGGATCGCCTTTTCTGATTTGTGATGTAAGAGTATCTGCAGCTCAGTGACTCCTCTCTGACCAGCTCTGATGTGACTCTTCTAGGCAGTTAGGTGGAATCTCCATTTTGGTCATTTTTATTCATGGGTTCACTAATCTTTTCTTCTGGCTTATTCTTTCTTTTCTGTTTGTTTTTTGAGACAGGGTTTTGCTCTGTAATTCAAACTGGCCTTGCACTCACTATGTACTCAAGGCTGGCCTTGAACTCACAGCAATCCTTCTGCCTGAACCTCCAGAGTGCTGGGATGACATGCATGTGCCACCACATACAGCTTTGGCCATATCCTTTCTCTAAAATGATACATATTTCTTAAGACATGATTCTCAGATCTAGGACTTCTGTTTGGTTCTTCTTTACACTTTGCCCTTTCTTCTTTGATTCTCAAGATCTTTCTTTTATTATTACATCTTTCAGCATATTCATAATAAATATTTTTCAATGGTCTAGATTGTTTCAGTATCTGAGCAATCTTCTCCTCTCTCTTTAATCTTGCTTCTTTGCTCTTTATTTTCTTACCGGTTACCCCAAGGACTTCACAAGGGGCCACATCTGCAGCCCATATTAATTTTTGATTCTGAAACAAGGTCTCAGGAAGTCACTAAATTGCAAGTCTGGGCATGAACTTTCAATCCTCTACCTCAGCTACTGTGACACTGAGGGTAGAATGGGAACTTGGTTGCTTTGGTGATCTCCTGGAAGCAGTTACCAGAAGGAGGAACACAGTTCTGGGTATATCTGGGTAGATCCTGGTGGGTTGGTCTAGGGGTCTGTGGCCCCGGCCCTGTCTTCTGTTGTGATTTTCCGCAGCTCTGCGTCCCAGTCACCTTGAAATGAGCACCTTTGCTCTGTTGCATCCCTTTGCCATGATGGTTTTGTTTGTGAGCCAGCCAGTCGTGGACTGAGTCCTCAGAACCTGACTTCCCATGAACTATTTCCTTCCTTAAACTGTGGGGATCAGTACTGTGTCTCAGTGTCTTGGTTACTTTTTTCTTGTTGCTGGGACAAAACACCCAACACCCTGAAATGAAGGAAAGAAAGGTTTATTTATCTGTTTGTGGAGGTTTCAGTCCATAATCAGCTAACTCCAGGGCAAGGAGGGGAGCAGGGCACCAGGGGTATGCTTCCAGGCAGCAGTCAGTTAAAGCAGCCAGAGTAAAAAGCCAGGATACAAGACTCTTTTCCTCCCCTATACTGCACACAGACCACCCCCACTGTAGGTTGGGTGTAGGGCTCACACCCTCTCCATGCTCTGCTCTTACACAGGCTCAGAATATTTACAAATATGCTGGCTCCCTGCAGAATCTTTTAGGTAACCTTCTTCGAAACTTCTTAAACTGACACAGTGTATCAACCATAACACACAGATGTAAGGAAGCTAATTATTCAGCCTCCCTAAGTGCCACAGGTGTATGCCACCATGCCCTGTTGGTTCGAGGTTTTTTCCACTTGACTTTGTCAGGGCTGGGGATCAAATTTAGGGCCTTGAGGGCTGTAGGCAAGTGCTCTACTCGTGAACTGCCTCTCCTCCCCTGCTTCAAAGTTTCTGTGTACTTCTCCATAATGTCCATGGAGGACTGTGTCCAGTACACACACATCCATCCTGCCAAAACTATCTGACTGCAGATGCTCTCTTCCCTTACACAAAATGATGCACTGTGTGCTGCCCCTATACACTTTCAATCCTCACTAGATTATTATAATGCCTGAACCAATGCAAGTGCTAGGGAAGTAGTTGTTATTCCACATTTTAGGGGGATAAAAAGGAAAACAAATTTGGTCATGGTCAGTTCAGGCACACTTTTTCCCCAAATATTTACAGCCTGGTTAGAGTTGCATCCACATGTTTTGAACCACAGACATGAAGAGGCTACAATTTATAGAAACACTGATGATTGAGGAGCACTGTTGTCTTGTTTTCCAAGCCTTTGAAGGGGTTTAATAAAAACACAGAGCCTGAGGCAGCCCACTTGGAGATGGGTGTGGAGGAGTGCAGGAGAGAGAATTACAAAGAACTCCTGCATCTGGGGACAGCTCCAGCCCATCTCACCAGACCAGCCAGGACAGCCATCCCCCTCCATCAAGCCTCACCTTGCCCCTGCGGCTCTGAACACCCTGGAACCTCTGAGGCTGTCTGTCCTGAGGGTTGGAGGAGCTTGCAGGTGAAGCAGAGAGGGTGGAGCACAGACCTCAGCTAACAGAGCCTGCGAGGTGAGAGGAAAATTAGATGGAGAGCTGCTCCCAAGCCCTGCAGAGCTTCAGACCCTGAAAGCACCCATCTGGGGCCTGGATTGTTCCCCCAAGGTCGCCCGACCTTTGTAATTTTTGGTGTCCTCTTATCCCTCTGCGTAGCACGGGTGTCCCCGGGCCCTTCTCATCTGTCAGTGCAGTTTTGCCCCCACCATCACCTATCCCAGCCCTCATGCCCTGGCTGAGATGCTTTCTTCTGGCCCGTGCCACAAGCCCCCAGTGGTTGGCTGAACAGCACCATGCACAAACATACCACACTCAGCCCCAGCTGCCACTGGCCAGGCTACACTCCCCCAGTATTGTCAACCCCATTGTCATCCTTCTGTCTTCTCAGACCTAACTCCTTAGGGCCATCTCTGAATCCTCTACCACTCTTCAACAAAGGAGCCCCTCCCCAATATCCCCAGCTGAAACTCAGCCTTGGTCTCTGGGGTGACCCTCCTCCCCTGCTCCCCTGACCCTCCCCACCTGCGGTCAGAGCGTGTGTGAATCCTGGGGCACAGCCGGTCCCTCCCATGCCTTGTACCTCGGTGCCCCCACTCCTGCTTCCCCTGCAAGCTCTCTTGGCATGCTGCCTTTGCACCCCTCTCTCTCCTGGATTCTTCTACTGTCACCACACTCAGTCCCATGGCCCTAACCTTCTGGGCTACTCCTACCTGAGTTATACCACCTGGCTCCTTGTCTCTGGTGACAGAACCTCTCCCACCCTGGTGTCTCCCAATATCATCTTCCTGCCAGGGCCTCCATGGTCACTTTGTTTAAAATGTCCTCTTTCCCTCCCATGCACACTGCTGTTTGCTCCTTACCATCTGTCAGTGCCACGTATCTGGAGCTCAGCTTGTCTGGGGGCCTTGGGGCTCACTGTTAGCATTGTTGGACCAACAGAAGCATGGGTGCTTGCACCGCTTCATACAGCCGGTGCTCCCTCCTGGCCTGCATGTGGAAAACCTGCAGATTGTGCAAGGAAGCAGCCCCTTCCTCTAGCCTGTACCTGTGTGTCCTGTAAGCTGCCCATCTGTTCCACCTGGGTTCTCTCATGCCTCCACACAGAAGGGGACATGGCTGGGCGTGGCAGAGCCATGGAGCTGCCAGTCTTCCTTGCTTCCTGGATTACTGCACTTAGTAGGGTGCAGGCATTGGACAGGGCTCATGAGGATGAAGAAAAAGAGGAGCTATATTGCAATCCAAATATTATATATTATAATCCAAATTCTGTATGCTGTAATCCAAATTTTACATATTAGAATCCAAACATTGTAATTCCTTTTGCAGTCCTCCTCACAATCCAGAAAGATATATTTTAGTTCCACTGAAACCTAATTGGAATCTCAGCAAGTTAACACCCATCTACCACCTCCAATGCAACTCTTGGTGAGAGTAAAGACACTAAGTCCTAGTCTAAGTTATGGGCAGCCAAGGAATCCCAAGTCTGATCCAAGTGATGATACACGGACAAAGGCCTTGATGGAAGGTCTCTCCCACAGTGTTTTATCTCATGAAGAAATCAGTGGTCCAAGGATGACTGACAGTGAGGATGGCAGGAACTACATGAGTAATTTTGTTTTACACGAGTACTTTGAGCTGGCTAGCCAGGTGGGGAGAAAAGCATCTTTGCAATATGCGAGGAGAATGATATGCAGAAGGACCAGTCTGCATAACCCAGTCAGGGTAGCATTTGAACACTTTGAGGAGGCCGTTGCTTCGGTCTCTGATATGTAAACTTTTTTACCCTGAGAGGTCATGGACTTTTATTTAGAGGCTCATACCCAGTGGACATTGCTGGAGCTGACTGGTTCTGCCATCCCACTGTGTTCAACTGTTTAACAGGGAACACAGTGTGAGGAAAATGTCACTTGCCTAAAGGATTACATGTCAGTATCTTGGCTGCCCTGATTTGCCTTGCTTAGAGCCAGTTTAAGGGTGATGGACATACTATAGCCAAGTCTGTACATAGCAGGGCATGGCAACAACTCGGTTGAACTAATGCTGAAGCAATTGTTCAGCATTCAAGCGGAGCTGCTCAAATTGGCTCCTACAGGGGTGTCTAGATAGAGCCCCAGATCTGCCTTACCAACTGAGAGGCACCAAGGGAATAACCTCCTCTCCTCAACCACAGGCAGTTAACAGGATTGGCAAACACTTTTCAGGAGCATGGAGACTGTCCCAGGGACCATGTCATCCTGCCATACCTGTACCAGCCAGCACCATGACCTGGAATCAGAAGAAAGAAGCCTGGAAACAAGGCCAGGAGAAGACACTGCAGACACTCAGGAGGCTGAGCCGTGGGAAGTGCGGATAGGAGGGCGCGTTCTTTCATAATTCACACTCTACTCAGTTTCAGAGTGCATCCCATGAAAGTATAGTCCTCTTATGATGGAAACAATAACTTCCTTCTGTGCTCTCTAGAGGCACTAACCTCTGTTTGTTCAGCACTTGCAGTGGATGTGGGAGATGGCAGGGGCCTGGCACACCACAGTGGAGCAGGAGTTTTCTGCCTGTTTTCTGCAGAGACTAAGGGAGCAGAGCCCCTGGCAGCCTCCGAGGCCAGGCATCCCAGACCCTGCTCCCCCGAAGCCAGCCCCTCCCCATCTGAATCCATGTGCTTACCTGTGTCCACATCTGCTATGCTCTGCCACATGGATGGTGGGTCCAGGGCTTTGCCTGGGGATGTGACCTGAGAGAGAGCGCCTGACTGTTGCAGTCCCCTCCCTGCCACCCCAGCCGACCACAGGCCTGGGTCGGGTGGGCTCAGCTCTGTCACCACAGTGTTTTTCTTTTGGTCTAACCTGTTCCAGCCTCAGAGGTTTGAGATCACTGAGAACTGCAGCTCTGACCAAGAGGAGATCTCCTATGGCCTGTGTGGCCATCGGATGCTGATGCACATGAATGATTTCCTTTGTGGGCATGGGGGTTACTGTCACTGGCATCAGGCATGGGAGAATCATGTCGGGTAGTGTGGGGCGTGTGTGTGTCACGGTACCTCCACATAGTCTGGAGAAAATCTTGCGTAGGTTTCCCAAAACCATCAGAATGAGCTTGTTAGGGACATCCTTCAGGCTGCACGTGGACAATGAGCTTCTGGCGGGTCAGAGCATCTCCTCCCCCAGTCATCTTTTCTGGTCCTTCTTCCTAGAATTTGGTCTCTGCCACCTCTGATTCGACCCTGTCGTGCCCAGAATCTGCCCTGTCCTAGGCACAGTTTAGGTCCTTGCTCCTGATGTCCCTGAGCTCCAGACCACATCCCTGTTGGGGCTATGCCTCTCAAACCAGGGGCAGGCAGGTCCAGCTCCTTTTGGTTAGTAAACAATTTCTCATGACCTATCCTTCGTAACAAAGGCAAGGCAGAAGGGGTCATAGTCCCTGACTTGAAGTTACATTACAAAGCTGCTATCATAAAGTCAGCATGGTACTTCAATAAAAATAGACCTGAAGATCAACGGAATAGATTAGAAGAGACATCTACAACTACAAACACACTCAGACACACCTTACCTTTGACAAGGGGACCAAACACGTTCACTGGAACAAAGACATCCTTGTTAATAACTGATGCTAGAAAAACTGGCTCTCCGTATGCTTTAAAGTAAAACTAGACCCTTGCCTATCACCATGTACTAAACTACAGTCAAAATGGATCAAAGATCTAAATATTAAAAGAGAAACACTAAATCTGCTAGAAGACAGATGAGGTATAAATCTTGAAGGTAGTGAAGAGAATTCATGAACAAAAATCAAACAGCATGGGAAGTACTTCCAGAATCCATAACTGAGATCTCATCTTATTAAAAGGTTTTTGCATGTCAAAAGAAATCTCAAAGTAAAAAAGAACTCATGAATGTTTAAAAAAATCTTAGTCAACTGTCCCTCAGACAAAGGACTTCTGTCTATAGCATAAGGAATTTAAAAATCAGACCCCCAAAATACAAAGGCCCAATCCAAAAATGGGCATCTGAGATGAATACACACTTCTCAGATGAAGAAATACACATGGCAAATAGACATGAAGAAATGTTCAGCATCATTGGTCATTAGAGAAATGCAAATTAAAACCACACTGAGAGCCCATCTCACTCAGAAAGAATGGCAAGGATCAAGAAAATTACCAGCAACAAATCCTGGAGAGGCTGTGAGGAAAAGGAACTCTCCTACACTGTTGGTGGGAGTGTAGACTGGTGCACCTCTCTGGAGGCCAGATTGGAAGTTTCTCCAAAAGCTGGGATTGGAAGTCCCATTTGAACCAGCTATTCCACTTCTGGGCATATTGAAGAAGAACTGAAAACATGATATCACAGTGATATATTTGCACCCATGTTCATAGCAGCACAATTTGTAATAGCCAGATCTTGGAAACAACCAAAATGCCCATCAACTGAGCAATAGATAAAAAGATGAGATACCTTTTTACAGTAGAATCCTACGCAGCTGTAAAGAATGATCACGTTCAGATTTGTATCGGTAAATGGATGCAACTGGAGACCATACTCATAAGTGAAATAAATCAAAATCACATATATAAATACTATATTGTCTCCCTAGTGTGAGAAACAGTAAGGCACAAAATCCTCAACAAATCCTGTGAAAGGTTAAGAACCGGCTCAAAAAGGAAAACTGTATCATCTCAGGGAAAACGAGAAAAAAAAGGAAAGAAAAACACAATATACATAAATTTGTATACACCCACTTAAGATAACTAAGATGATTGTGCTGCAAGTTCTATTAGTTCTTGGGACAAAACAGTTAACATTCATAGGACTGGATCAATTTTGGTTGTTTATGTCTGGTGATCTGAGGAACTCTGTTGAAGATCACTATGTAAGATAGTTCTGTTCCTACCACCTTGTTTTGAAGGACTATATCGTCATTGTTTTAGGTATTTTGCTATTGTTTAGTTGTCTTTTTTGTTTCTTGTTTTCTAGTATTTTGTTGTTTTGCTTTTCCCTTTCATGTAGAGAGATAGGTGTATATGTAAAGGCTTATACATGCCCAGAACTTCTCCATAACAGTTCATGAGCATCGATTGTATTACGTGTGATGAAATAAACAGCTACGTTGAAGAAAAAGAGACATTATGGTTTCCATTGCTGATTCCTGATCGTTATGCTCTGAAATCCAGTAATGCTTTTATTCTTTGTTCAGAGTGGGTTTAGTCCATTTTGTACTATTTAATGTCAACATACATGACGGTATGACAGCTATTTTGAAGAGAACAAGAGACATTATGGCAGCCATTGTTGATTTTCCTATTGTCTGTCTTGAAGGCCGATAAGGCCTTCATTATTATGTTGGGATCCGTTTTATACTATTTCATTTTGTATGAATTCATCGTGTGTGAAATATAGAAAACTATTTAGAAGAAAGCTACAGACATTATGGTAGCCCACTGGTGATGTCCTGTTGTTTTACTTTGAAATCTGTGCCACTTAGATTGTTTTGTTCTGATCTGCTTTGTTCTGTTTTATTTTACCATCTTTAAATTTCTAAAAAATTTTTAAACATTCATTCCTAGAAGCTGCCATTATTCTGATACAAAACAAGATAAACCTCCACACAGCAACTACAAAACGAAAACTACAGGCCAATCTCTTTAATGAATATAGATACAAAATTCCTCAGAAAGATCCAGGAAACCTGGTGTGTAATTATCCAAATGATCACATACCTTAATCAAGTTTGCATCCCACGGATAGAAGGATGTTTTGACCTATGCAAATCAATAAATGTAATACACTACATAAAGAGATATCAGGAAAAACATCACACAATCATCTCAATAGATGCGGAAAAACCTTTGGCAAAATCCACCCATTCATATTAAAAATGCTGAAGCAAATAGCTATAATAGGACATTATCTCAATCTGATAAAAGCCATGAGGACAAGCCAACAGCCAGAATCATACTAAATAGAGAGCAACAATGAGGAAAAGTTCCACCAAAAGTCTCCAAGCAAAGTCAAAATATAGCAGGAAAATATAAAAAGTCAGTAGTGTTCTTGTAGACCGGTAATGAACCAATTGAGAAATGAATTAGGAAAACAATCCTGTATTCACAATAACATAAAGAAAACCTAAATACTTAGGACTGACCTAACCAAGGAAATGAAAGACCTCTACAGTGAAAAGTATAGTACTCTGAACAAAAGGGATCGAAGGGGACACCAGGAAATGGACAGATATCCCACTCCTGGGTAAGCAGGGGTGATGTCATCAAAATGGCCGTACATACAACCATTTAATGCAACCTCAATGAAAATACCAACAGAACTCCTCACAGCACTAGAGAAAACAATCCTCAAAGCCATGTGGAATCAGAAGACACCTAGAATAGAAAATCCTGGGCAACAAAGACCAAAGCAAGAGACCTCAGCATGCCAGATTTCAAGGTATATTACAAAGCTACATGGATAGAAAGAGCATGGTAGTGGCATTAGAACAGATCTGTGAATCATTGGAACAGAATAAAAAATGTAGAAATGACCACAGAGGGCCTTGGCACTCAGGAAGCAGGAGGATCCCCACAACTTCGAGGCCAGCCTGGCCTACATAGTCAGGTCAAGGCCAGGCTGAACTGCATAGTGAGAGCCTGTCTCAAAAAAACAAACACACACAAACACAAACAAACAAAAATAAAAAACAACTCCAGACACCTTCAGCCATCTGATGTTTGACAAAGGGACCAAAAACATTCTGGAGGAAGATAGAGTCTTTAGCAAATGATTCTAGGAAAACTGGCTTTCCATGTGCAGAACATTGAGCATAGACTCGTGTATGTCAACAGGTACTAAACTATAATCAAAACACATCAGGTACATAAATATTAAAGCAGAATCACTCAACATGCTGGAGGACAAAATATGTACAACTCTTGTGGTCAGGGTTGTAGGCAAGGACTTGTTGAACAGAACCTAATGACATGAGAAATAACATCAAGAATTCACAAATGGGATCACATCAAATTAAAAAGCTTCTTCACACCCAAACAAACAACCAACAGAGTGCTGAGATAGCCTACAGGATGGCAAAAATATTCTGCCACCTATGTTTCCAATAGATGACCCATACCTGACATATGTAAACTAAGAAAGAAATTAGATCTCCCAAAATCAAAGATCAAATCTGGGCAACTGACAGGAATAGACACGTCCCTGAAGAAGAAAGAAACCCAAAGTATACATAAATTAAAGAGCAAAAGAAAAGATACATGACAGGAAACAGGAATAGAGACCTTTGCAAACGAGAAGAGGGCCAAGAAGGGAGGCGAAGGCGAGAGGAGCAGGGAGGCAAAGAGAATCAAGATGTGTCCCGCACAGGTACCATCGACCCATGATGGACGCAATCATTATGTATCAAAAACACACATTACTTCTTTTAAAGGTATCTGTATTTTGCTTCCAACCTCTCCAGGACCTGAGCGGCACCTGTGCTTTCATTCTTAAAGATCTTTTCGCTGGTCCTCCTGAGGAAAGAGCAGGCTTATCAACCAAATCATGTTTTGCAGGAGTTGCAGAGCCTGGCTGCCAGGGTTAGCAGTTACCTTGTGTAGACTTAGGGTACTTTTAGGCCCCATCCCCTCGGATGAGACAGGGAAGGGAAGAGGCTGTCCTGAAGTGTCTGTGCCACTAACCTCAACTCTCAAGCTAAGAAGACCACGAGGTAACACAGTGCTCAGCCTGAGCTCCCGCCTCTGCTCACGCCAGGTCACTGCGTGTCCTGTGGGCACCTCAGTTACTGATGCTTCCACCACAGGCCGGGCCTGCCCTTCTCCTGTCCAGTGCATGCCCATTCCTTGCTCACATGTTGCAAAGATACATCACACAAGCAGGCCATAGCATTTATCTCCTAGCTGGCAACCAAAACAGAATGCTTACATTGAAATTCTCTATGCCAAACATCAGACCTTATTTTGTATTAATTTAAACTACCTTGTTATAATAGAGTTCTGAAACTGTTAAGCTTTGACTTGACAGGAAGTATTTTCTCTAAGCAGGTGAAATGACAGGAGATGTTTCATGCAGCCTGCCAAGTTTAACAGTGAAGCTGAAGGTACCATTGAAATCTGAACTCTATTATAATAGTCATGGTACAAAAGAGAGGAAAAGAAAGTACTCTAAACTATATAACTGCATGTATATTTAAGTGTATAAGATAGAAAATGATATCACAGAGTTTTATTGGATCAATGAACAGAACTGTTTGCAGTATCATTGATGGAATGTCCACTTTACAAGCTTTAATTTTGTGACTTGAACAATTATTTCTAAGATGACAATATGTAATCCATTAACTAGTGATTTCCTACTGTTCATTTTTTTTCTGTAAATCTGTATAACTTGTACCCTTTCCCTGCTTTTTTTTTCTTTTCTCCTTAAATAAAATTTAAAAAAAATAAAATAAAAATAAACTTGGCAGGCTGAAGGCCCACATGCTAAAGGGTAAAGGTCACCCCCAGGGCGGTGCCAGGGGGAGGGGTAAACCTTGAAGAGGTGTGGCCTAGTGAGAGATTTTGACTTCTTTCCCTGAGTTGGGTGGTTTCTCTCTGCCACATTGGCCCACCATGCTGTGCTGTTTTCCAAGGGCCAAAGCAGTAAGAACAACAGTGTAATGAATCCTGGACCGGAACCTTGCAAACTGAGCCAGTGGATATCATTTCTGTATAACATCATCAGTATCCTACACATTTGCTATATTAGAAAAAACTTAATAGGGTAACCAATACACATTTCTACAATTAAACAGAAAAGGAATTGAGAAAGGAACCAAAGTGATAGACCACAAAACAAAACAAAGACATGGGCAATAATGGAGGAAATGAACAAAACTAATAAAGACATAAGATGTGAGAAACAAAGGTCACAGTAAATAAAAATCAATGGAATAAAATATGAAAGTCCAAGTGAGAGACTGAAGAATGGTAACAAAGTAGGATCCAACTCTGTGCTGTCACTGTGCAGTTTAGAGTCTAAACTAGGAATAAGTGGAAAGTGGAAGGACAGAAAATACTGAAGAACACACCAATGAACAATTCTAGTAGGAGAATTCAATCCCAAAAATTCAGTCATAAATATATTAAGCAGCAAGCAGAGCAATAAAAAAAAAAACTGGAATAAAACTCTAAAGTGGTTAGACCTCAGAGATATCTACTGTGCACCATTCAGGAGCCCTAACACAGGGCGTTTGTCCCAATTTTACATGAAACATTCCCTAAGTCCCATATGTGAGGTTATGATCAGGATATTGTGAAAATCCCAAGTCATACAAAGTAGCTATTCTGACCACAGGGGATGAACCTGGGGTGCAGTACCCAGAAGTTCCACAGTGTTAGAAAGCTTTGACTTGACAGGAAGTATCTTCTCTCAGCAGGTGGAAGGACAGGAGATGTTTCTAACCAAGGAACAAGAAGAAAACAAAAGAACTCTGCTGAAACTAAGTAACACAACTAGAAAGGCTCCTGGGCTCCTGGGCTCCTGGGCTCCTGGGCTCCTGGGCTCCTGGGCTCCTGGGCTCCTGGGCTCCTGGGCTCCTGGGCTCCTGGGCTCCTGGGCTCCTGGGCTCCTGGGCTCCTGGGCTCCTGGGCTCCTGGGCTCCTGGGCTCCTGGGCTCCTGGGCTCCTGGGCTCCTGGGCTCCTGGGCTCCTGGGCTCCTGGGCTCCTGGGCTCCTGGGCTCCTGGGCTCCTGGGCTCCTGGGCTCCTGGGCTCCTGGGCTCCTGGGCTCCTGGGCTCCTGGGCTCCTGGGCTCCTGGGCTCCTGGGCTCCTGGGCTCCTGGGCTCCTGGGCTCCTGGGCTCCTGGGCTCCTGGGCTCCTGGGCTCCTGGGCTCCTGGGCTCCTGGGCTCCTGGGCTCCTGGGCTCCTGGGCTCCTGGGCTCCTGGGCTCCTGGGCTCCTGGGCTCCTGGGCTCCTGGGCTCCTGGGCTCCTGGGCTCCTGGGCTCCTGGGCTCCTGGGCTCCTGGGCTCCTGGGCTCCTGGGCTCCTGGGCTCCTGGGCTCCTGGGCTCCTGGGCTCCTGGGCTCCTGGGCTCCTGGGCTCCTGGGCTCCTGGGCTCCTGGGCTCCTGGGCTCCTGGGCTCCTG